ATAAATCTTTGCCTGCGGTTTATTACGAAGATTTCAAATTCCCCGTTAACACGGGAACCGTGCTCGGGTACCAATACCGTCTGAAAAGGTTATTTGCCGTGACCATTGCTTTCCACACAGTGAGACAATATACCACGAGCAACGAGTGGACGAGCAGGCTAGGCGAGTGTTCCCTGATACCGAATAATCGATGCGTACGGTGAAACTGGATCAAGAGGCCGTCGAGGAAAGAAGAAGATTTCTACGACAACTGCATTAGCAATACCAAATGAACAGTTGCATGAAACAAGCAAATTGAATGAAAGCGTACAAATTACAAACATTACAGTAGAAATACATCTTAAGTTCAATATTTGATAATATAGAAACAAGTATGAGGTGAAACGAAATGACTAAATAAAAACGACTTAACGTACCCTGCTCTTGGAAGATCTTTAGCATGTTTTAGTTCTTATCTGGTTTATATTGTTCCAAAGACTGAGTTGACTCTACAATCCCAAAAAAGATGCGTAAGTGTCTCTGGGGAAATCTATACTTGGGAACTACTGACCATTCGTTATTGGTGGGGCGGAGTGTTGTTCTTTTCTTTGGATCAGAAAAAGTGAACTGGGAAATATCTCAAACGTGAGAAACTTGAAACAGTGGTCCATGTTTTTGAAGGGTTAGTTTATTGAGAGAAACTTGAAACAGTGGTCCATGTGTTTGTAGGGTTAGTTTATTGCGAAATCCCGATTATTTTATTTGAGACAAGGATAAAAAAAAAGTGAATTGGGAAATATCTCTAAGGTGAGAAACTTGAAACAGTGGTCCATGTTTTGGTAGGGTTAGTTTTTTGCGAAATTATTTATATCAGTTGCGTTCTAACAAAAGAAAACAAAAGAATTGCACTCAGAAACTCTAATACGAAAACTGTATTTCAAAGGTTCATGGAAAATACATGGACAACCACATGGAGTCTTCATTCGGTTTTTAAAAGGTCGGGGGTAGATTTAGTGACAACTATGACTAGTCTTATGAAGAAAACTGTGAGTTAATCTCAGTATGTATATAATAAATTTCGTTCATTCGCATTTCCTTTGCTTACAAGGAGTCTACATGGGAAACTCGTCGTCCACAGCAAGCGAGCGCTTAACTCTTGAATTTTCCCGCCGTGAACGACGTTCTCGACCCGAGTCTTTTCTTGGTGCAGTTTGTCGTCGTCGATGCTTAAGGTCCCATCATTGGATCCAGTGAGCCTTCATGTCTCACGTCTTCAGCCATTGAGGTAGTTTTGTAAGCTAGGCCTGGTATTTTCATTCGTATTCATTTGAACCGTTTCTAAATATTATTCTACGTCTTAACTAATGTGCCGCCCAATCGGGTAGGGTTTTGCGCCGTTTTGGTCTGAAAACAGGTATACACTTTGCTCATTTTGGTCTGGAATCGGGTATGGTTTTCGAGGAAACTACGGAGTGTATGAACTTATTTATCGTTTCAATTCCAAATGAGTAAGAAAGAAAGAGAAATATGCGAATTCGAAAGGGATTGAATAATTTTTTTGTTTACGCTCTACGGCAAGGTAATGATAACATAATTTCTGCCTAAGGGCCAGGTCTGAAAACGGATATGGATTTTACCTGTCTAGTCTGAAAACGGGTGTGGAAAATTACATTTTTTTGATCTGAAATCTGGTCAGGATTTGAAGAACCGGGCGGCACACCCCCACAAAGAATTCCCAGGAGTACCCCCCGGGGAAATTCATTTACATACGATAAGGTACCGCACTTCCTTGTTGCTTTTTAGCCTGAGCATCAGTCGTTTCTTGGGGAAAAGGGGAAAGATTGAGTCTCGAAGTGGAGAGCTTGCTTGAAGTCTTTCTCTGCTGTTCTCTCATCCCTTTTCCCCAAGAAACGCCTGATACTGCAAGCAAGATCTCCACTCCAAGACTCAATCTCTCTGGCGATTTCAATAACTGCTATAGAAAACCATCTCTGGCTTAGAATCGTTGTAAAATTTTTCTTTGCTTGTAAAGAATGCTATTTCATCACAACGAGCGCGTTTTTTTCTCCCTTTTTATTTCAATTGTTGCCGCTATTGAAGAAAATTTGCCATATTCGAACCATATTATTCGCAAATGAACAAGCGTATCGTTTAACAAGTGAAAAAGTGCTTTTTGCTGCAGATGTATTAAAAAGGCGACAACTCGTCATTTACCGGAAGCGGAAGGGGAACATGACCTTATTTTCACGCCAAATACACTTCCGCTTTCGTTTCCGTTGAACAACCGTTTCTCGAATGTTCCACAAGGACATTACCCTTTGACCCTAAGAAGTTAAAAGAACTATATTGTTTTGGTCGTCTTGGTTTACCTATTTTTGTTCTTTTATGGGTTGGCACTCGCCTATGAAAGGCTTTCAAAAATGTAACAAATATTAACATCTGTAATCGTAGCGTACATCAGCCTTAAAAATCTTTAGTATTTCAGTTGAAACGAAATCATCTTTCCTCAACTTCGCCATCATAAATAATCTTTTATGAACTACTATAGGCAGAAAACTCTTGTTACCTCCTAAAATCTTTAGCAGGATGGCATGAAGATGGGTTTTATTTCCACCACTCAGCTGAGGAATCGTCTGAAATGAGTGTCGTCCTGTGATAATGTTTCGACATGCGTCACTTTAAATATCGTAGTATATTTCTGGTTCCTTCCCAATGTTCACGTTTAAGATAAGGCCATTAGTCTGCCTGCAGAGTAGGATCAGGCAGATGCGACTTTTTCACCTAAATTTGGTACTTTTGCAAACAATTAAACAACTCCCACCAAGAAAGCGTAAAAGTATGTTACGATTGATGCAGGCAACGCAACATGCAGATGCAATATAAACAACAAAATACTACACGGATAGGGACTTTCCCTTCAGTTCTAATCAAATGCTTTATTTATAGCATGTAATCACTACGAATTTCTTTGTAAAGACAGATCCTGCTGATTTATGACAAAACGCAAGTGAAATTATTCCCTTATTTCACGAGTATACCATTTGATTACCTATTAATATATATCATGGGTGACGAAACTCCACTCTCTCAAATGTTTAGAACTCTCTCAAATGTTTTCAGAATTTTTCGGCAAAATGCCTGTTAGAATCCTTCTTGATGTTCTCTTGTGTGTTCAGGTTTTCTAAACGTCTTTTTGTGCCCTGACATCTTCATTCAGGCCATTTTAAAACTTCGTCGCCATCTTGACCACATGTGAAATTACAAATTAACGCTGAAATTTCGCGCCAAAATTAAGGAGTAATTCGTCACCTATGATATTAACAACAAACTACTACACGGATGGGGACTTTCCCTTCAGTTCTAATCAAATGCATTATTTATAGCATGTAATCACTACGAATTTGTTTGTAAAGACAGATCCTGCTGATTTATCGTCTGGTATAAAAGGAAAGCATCAGAGCACACTGAGTACATACAGTCGAACCCCGCTATTTCGAACTCGGTTAATTCGAAGTCCCCGCTATTTCGAAGGAAGATCAAATTCCCTTGGATTTACCCTTATGTTTTCAGTCATTTACTATCAGCTATTTCGAACTCGGTTATTTCGAATTCCCTGCTATTTCGAACTCATCGTTCTTTCCCTACACCTTAAATCAACCCCATTATTTCGAACTTGTCGCAAACAGAGTACGTACACAAGAGCACAGCTGGAAACGTATTGCATTTTATTTGAGCTCGTGTTGCGTAATTAATGACTTAACAATGCTTGACTCACGTGCAGTGTCCCG